TATTTTCAGGTTGTCATTGCCAGGGTGGCTTTTCCAGGGTGGGTTTGCTGGGGTGATTTTTTCAGGTTGGCATTGCCAGGGTGGGTTTGCTGGGGTGGAATTGCCAGGATTTGCTGGGGTGGGTTTTTTCAGGTTGGCATTTGCCAGGGCAGAATTGCCATGGTGGGTTTGATGAGTTGGAATTGCTGGGTTGGATTTGCCAGGGCAGAATTGCCAGGATTTGCTGGGGTGGTTTTTTAAGGTTGGCACTGCCAGGGCAGAATTGCCAGGCTGGGTTTGCTGGGGTGTTTTTTTTTCAGGTTGGCACTGCCAGGGTAGATTTGCTGGGGTGGGTTTGATGGGGTGGTATTTTCAGGTTGGCATTGCCAGGGCAGAATTGCCAGGGTGACTTTTCCAGGGTGGCTTTGCTTGGTTGGATTTGCTGAGGTGGATTTGCCAGGGCAGAATTGCCAGGGTAGATTTGCTGGGGTGGTATTTTCAGGTTGGCACTGCCAGGGTGGGTTTGCTGGGGTGGATTTGCCAGGGCAGAATTGCCAGGATTTGCTGGGGTGGTTTTTTTTCAGGTTGGCATTGCCAGGGTGGCTTTACTGCAGTGCCTTTGCCAGGATGGCACTGCCAGAGAAGCTTTGCCAGGCTGGCTCTTCCAGGATGGCATTGCCAGGGTGGCTTTTCCAGGGGTGGCTTTGCCGCAGTGGCTTTTCCCAGCCTGGAATGTTTTTTCCAGGGCTGCCTTTCCCAGCCTGGAATGGTTTTTCCAGGCTCCCTTTCCCAGGCTGGAATGTTTTCCCAGGGCTGTTTTTCCCAGGCTGGAATGGTTTTTCCAGGGCTTTTTCCCAGACTGCAATGTTTTTTCCAGGCTCCCTTTCCCAGACTGGAATGGTTTTTCCAGGGCTGCCTTTCCCAGTTTTTCCAGGCTCCCTTTCCCAGCCTGGAATGGTTTTTCCAGGGCTGCCTTTCCCAGACTGGAATGGTTTTCCAGGCTCCCTTTCCTAGGCTGGAATGATTTTCCCAGGGCTGTTTTTCCCAGGCTGGAATGATTTTCCCAGGGCTGTTTTTCCCAGGCTGGAATGGTTTTCCCAGGGCTGTTTTTCCCAGCCTGGAATGGTTTTCCCAGGGCTGTTTTTCCCAGCCTGGAATGGTTTTTCCAGGGCTGCTTTTCCCAGCCTGGAATGGTTTTTCCAGGCTGCTTTTCCCAGTCTGGAATGGTTTTTCCAGGGCTGCCTTTCCCAGTTTTTCCAGGTCTGCATTTCCCAGCCTGGAATGGTTTTTCCAGGGCTGTTTTTCCCAGGCTGGAATGGTTTTTCCAGGCTCCCTTTCCCAGCCTGGAATGGTTTTTCCAGGGCTCCCTTTCCCAGCCTGGAATGGTTTTTCCAGGGCTCCCTTTCCCAGCCTGGAATGGTTTTTCCAGGGCTCCCTTTCCCAGCCTGGAATGGTTTTTCCAGGGCTCCCTTTCCCAGGCTGGAATGTTTTTCCCAGGGCTGTTTTTCCCAGGGTGGATTTGCCGCAGTGGCTCTTTCCGGGGCGGTTTTTCCGGGCCGGAATTTTCCTGGCTGGTTTTTCCAGCCGGGCTTTGCCGCAGTGGGGATCCCGGGATGACTCTGCCGGGGGGGATGTGCCGGGGGTGGATGTGCCAGAATGGAATTGCCGGGGTGGGTTTGTCACTGCAGCTTCTCCAGGGCGGCTTTTCCAGGGTGGATTTGCCGGGATGATTTTTCCAGGATGATTTTTCCAGAGTGACTTTTCCAGGGTGGCTTTTCCAAGGTGGCTTTTCCAGGAGGACTTTCCCAGGATGGCTTTTCCAGAGTGGCTTTTCCAGGATGGCTTTCCCTGGGTGGATTTGCCACAGTAGCTTTTCCAGGATGGCTTTTCCAGAGTGGCTTTTCCATGATGATTTTTCCAGGGTGGATTTTCCAGGATGGCTTTTCCAGGGTGGATTTGCCACAGTAGCTTTTCCAGAATGATTTTTCCAGACTACCTTTTCCAGGATGGCTTTTCCTGGGTGGATTTGCCACAGTAGCTTGTCCAGGATGGCTTTTCCAGGATGATTTTTCCAGGATGGCTTTGCCACAGTAGCTTTTCCAGGATGGCTTTTCCAGGATGATTTTTCCAGAGTACCTTTTCCAGGGTGGCTTTGCCATGATGATTTTTCCAGGATGATTTTTCCAGAGTGGCTTTTCCAGGATGGCTTTTCCAGGATGATTTTTCCAGGATGGCTTTTCCAGGGTGGATTTTCCAGGATGGCTTTTCCAGGGTTGATTTGCCACAGTAGCTTGTCCAGGGTGGCTTTTCCAGGGTGGCTTTTCCAGGGTGGCTTTTCCAGGGTGGTTTTTCCAAGGTGGCTTTTCCGGGATGGATTTGCCACAGTGGCTTTCCCAAGGTGTCTTTGCCAGGATGATTTTTCCAGGGTGGCTTTTCCAGGGTGGCTTTTCCAAGGTGGCTTTTCCAGAGTGGCTTTTCCAGGGTGGCTTTTCCAGAGTGGCTTTTCCAGAGTGGCTTTTCCAGAGTGGCTTTTCCAAGGTGGCTTTTCTAAGGTGGATTTTCCAGGGTGGCTTTTCCAGGATGGCTCTTCCTGGGTGGATTTGCCACAGTAACTTTTCCAGGATGACTTTTCCAGGATGATTTTTCCAGGATGGCTTTTCCAGGGTGGATTTGCCACACTAGCTTTTCCAAGGTGGCTTTTCCAGGATAGCTTTTCCAGAGTGGCTTTTCCAGAGTGGCTTTTCCAGAGTGGCTTTTCCAGGGTGGCTTTTCCAGGGTGGCTTTTCCAGGGTGACTTTTCCAGGGTGACTTTTTCAGGGTGACTTTTCCAGGATGGCTTTTCCGGGATGGATTTGCCACAGTGGCTTTCCCAAGGTGTCTTTGCAAGGATGATTTTTCCAGGGTGGCTTTTCCGGGGTGGTTTTTCCAGGGTGATTTTCAGGGTGGATTTCCCACAGTAGCTTTTCCAGGGTGGCTTTTCCAGGGTGGCTTTTCCAGGGTGACTTTTCCAGGGTGATTTTTCCGGGGTGGCTTGTCCAGGGTGGGCTCAGTGTCCCCTCAGGGTGTCCCCCCCATGTCCCAGCTGTTCCCCAGCAGCCATTCCCAATTCCATCCTCATCCTCCCTCATTCCCAACCCATCTGCTCCCATCGCTCTGCCGGGCTCAGGGGAGGAAGGGGGTGACAGGAGGGTGTCCCTGTCACCTCCCCCTGTCCCCTGTCACCTCCTCCTGTCCCCTGCCACTCCCCTGTCACCTCCCCCTGTCCCTGTCACCTCCCCCTGTCCCTGTCACCTCCCCTGTCCCCTGCCACCTCCCTGCCACCTCCCCCCTGTCCCTGTCACCTCCCCCTGTCCCTGTCACCTCCCCTGTCCCCTGCCACCTCCCTGTCACCTCCCCCTGTCCCTGTCACCTCCCCTTGTCCCTGTCACCTCCCCCTGTCCCTGCCACCTCCCCTGTCCCCTGCCACCTCCCCCCTGTCCCTGTCACCTCCCTACCACCTCCCCTGCCCCCTGTCACCTCCCCCTGTCCCTGCCACCTCCCCTATCCCCTGTCCCCTCCCTGTCACCTCCCCCTGTCCCCCCCCAGCCTGCAACGTCACCATCCACAACCGCTGCAAGGACACGCTGCCCAACTGCACCAAGGTGAAGCAGAAGGTGAGTGTGGGGAGGGGGAATGAGCTGAGGGGGAAGGGGGGGTTTAAACAGCTCCAGGGGGGGATCTGGGGCTGGAATGGAGGGTTTGGGGACACGAGGGGACAGTGACACCTCCCCACTCCCCCCCCCCCCCCCGCAGCAGAAGGCGGCGCTGCTGAAGAACAGCTCGGCCCTGCAGTCGGTGTCGCTGCGGAACAAGAGTGAGTGGGGCCTCCCTGAACCTTCCCGAACCTTCCTGAACCTTCCCGAATCTTCCCAAACCTTCCCGAACCTTCCTGAACCTTCCTGAACCTTCCCGAACCTTCCTGAACCTTCCCAAACATTCCTGAACCTTCCCTTCCCTTCCCTTCCCAAACCTTCCCAAACCTTCCCAAACCTTCTCTTCCCTTCCCTTCCCAAACCTTCCCTTCCCTTCCCAAACCTTCCCTTCCCAAACCTTCCCTTCCGAAACCTTCCCTTCCGAAACCTTCCCTTCCGAAACCTAACCTTCCCTTCCCAAACCTTCCCAAACCTTCCCAAACCTTCCCTTCCCAAACCTTCCCTTCCCTTCCCTTCCCAAACCTTCCCAA